TGAGACATGACTTCTTGAGTTCTGGCATGTCCTAATATCTAGGAACAAGCAAATAAAGCTTTGAGCTGTCTTCCACTTTTCTCGCTCACTTTCATTACTTTGAACATAAAGAAACTTTCAGTTTTCACGAAGATATAAATTATTTGCTTTACCAAGTTATATGTGTGTACATGTTTCCCTTTTAAAATGTGATTACCGAAAAAGAGGAACGTGTAGTCATTTACATATAATTACATTTAGGATAGTTTCTAAACGGGGTTTATAAATTTTAATTTTTTAAAATTTGTGGTATCAGGGAGAAAGCCCTGGACTTGGGATGAGGGAAAGTGTGTTCTATTTGTCACTCTGCCACCAGCTATATTAGTCAGCTTTTCATCACTATAATAAAATACCAGAGGCAAATGTAAGGATATGTAAAGATAATGGCTTATTGAGCTCATAGTTTTGGAGGTTCAAAGTTCAAGATCAGGAAGAATTTACATTACCAAACAGGAAGTGGGGGAGGGGGGACTGACATCCTACAATCCTTCCTGAGGATGCATCCCTGATGACCCAGGAGACTGACTAGGCCCCACCTCCCAAAGGATCCACCACCTCCCCATGGTGCTGCCCTAGGGACCAAGACTTTAATCACAGTGGAGCCTTGGAGGACGCTCTGACCACACCTAAACCATAGCATGGTGTAGCTTGGAGCGAGACTCAGATGAGATCACAGCAGTTTAGGGGTGTCCAGAAACCCCATGAGTCTCCCAGATCATACTCCCATCCATCATGGAAGAACTCCTTTGGAGCATCCCTTACAGAGATTAGTGATGCCTCCACTGAGATGATGAGGTGCTTATATGTGTGATGTCACCCCACTGTTGAACAGTTCTGTGTTGTACTTTTCCTTTCTTGGGTTGAACAGGATACTTCATCCAAATCCAAACTTAGTAACTGTTAAGGAGCATCTACTTAATGTATGATGAGCCTTGAACCAGGTTCTTTAAAGAATCTTCCCCCTAAACCATGTCACATTCAGATCCTGGAGAAAGAATAGGTGAAATGACTTACTAAAGGTGACACCGCTAGCCAGAGGTCCAAACTTCCTATTTCCTGGCTATCTTTGGCCAATGATATAAGGAAGAACAAGCCTTTTCCCTCATTTAAACAGAGAGTGGAGCAGATATCTGTGGATGCCCGTGCCTTTATCTTCTTCTCCCTAAACTGCTCTACTGTTTCTCATTTATTCAGTTGGCCTTAGCCCCAGCAGGCTACCCTCCTCAGATCCTGACTAATCCACTATATCCATCTGAAAGTGTTACAACCTTCTTAATGTGTGACTAGTGAGAAAGAGCAACCTGGGGCAACTTCAGAAACTTACACACCATTAAGACAGCTACAACAAAACACAGTAAGACCACGGTCTGCCATCTTTGCCTCAGTGGACCCCAGGGTCCTGGAGTAAGCAAGTTCTAGTACCAGTGGGGCACTAGTCTAGAGAAAAATAAAAGGGTTGACTCCTCTTCTAGAGGCTGATCTCACAAATGAAGCCCAAAGTAGCACTCTATTTTCTCATCTAAAAATCGAGTGAATTCAACTGTGGATCATACCTCATCTGTGTTCTGTGGCTCCAGAGAATAGAACTAGTGTCTCTGATGAAACACTAGAAGGAGACAGATTTGTGCTCATATAATGAGCTTCAGTGCAAGCCATTACAACATGGCAGAGTTGCCTTCAATGATCAGGTAAAGGGTCTGGGATAACTTGGTAGGAGTTGCTGAGGTGATTGGTAAGTCATTTATTTGCTCTGAGCCTTGGTTTCCTCATCTGTGAGTGAGATAATAAGTGGTTTTAAGGAGAAAATGTTTACAGTCTGGTGCATTGGCATAGGATAAGCACTGAAATAAATCCAAGTGGAGTTTATTATTACTGTTAATCTCTGTTGTGGTATCTCCTTTAAGAAACATTTCAGCTCTGGGAATCTGAGGAACTCTTAATGTATTTCATATACTCATCAAAGATATGGACATTCCTGTACCACATCTCAGCTCTGTGGTATCCCTACTCATTGTTCACCACCATTAGGGGTCATTTACTCAGTCGCTATAACCAATATGGCTTAATCTCAAGCCAATCCATTCTAAATTCTAGATTACCTCCCTGCTACAGACATGTACTATGAGATAATCTTCCAACTTCAGCAGAAGGGACAGGAGAAGAGCCACACAGCACAATCACAGAAGTGGAACGAATCTTAGATAGCAAATCCAATGTTTTCCATGATGAAGTAGATGGCATACAGAGGAGAATTTTATATCTTAGTGATTTGAGATTTATTTTGATGAACATCAGGGGAAAAGATGTAATACATTAAACTTATAATTTCACAAATGTTACTGTAGGATTTAAGTTTAAAAAAGGAAACTTTTTTAAAAAATTAAATAAGAATATACTTATAATTGAAGAAACTATTTGCAGATATGGTTTTTAAACATCTCACAAGTTGTATGCCAACAAGTGAAATTTAGGAAATGCTGACACCAGGTTGTCCTTCCTTAGGACTGAGGTGGGTGTTTAGCTCAGTTGCTAGAGCACTTGTCCTAGGTTTGATCCCCAGCATTACCCACCCCACTGCCCTCCCTACACAATGACAGTAACTCAGGGTCATAGAGGGACGGTGGCTCACTTACATTCACAATCACATACCTATTAGTAGCATGATTGTGACTAAAGGAGTGCTGCCCCTCACTCCTGAAACTAAAGAAGTTAAGATTTTGCATGAATTATTTTCATTTAAACAATATTGTTGAATTTTGCCATATCACCTGAGTTTTTCTTCTGTAAATATTTTATTTTCCTGGATTTATTCTGTTTCACCAATGAAGTATGCACATCAAATGGTCTAGATACTTCTTAATGCTGACGTCTGTTTTTTGATGTTCTCTACTTGGAACTTTTGAATTCGGTGTCCTTCTTTTTACCAGACTACCACTGCCTGTGACTTTTGCCTCTCTGGGTGGGTTTGCCCCTGTCCTGTCACTTTTCCAAACTTCTTTGCTTTTTAAAAAGTCACTGCTTGATTTATCTGACAGTTCTCTGGAAAAGCTCTGTTCTCAGGGCTTATCCTTATTTGGTTCAGAACTTGCTGCCTGCAGTCAGCTCTCTCTCTATTTGTCCAAAACAATCATCAGCAATTGTTTAACATTTCAGCTACCCGAGGTGACAACACCAGCTGGGGATAACAAGAGACTGACAAAAAGGAAATTAAAGGGGAAAACTGGGAGGTGTGCAGCTAATTGGATCTTGAATATCCTCCAAAGGTGCTTGGCCCCCAGCCTATGGCAGGCAAACTGTGATCTAAAGGTAGAGTCTTTTTTTTTTTT